CAGTTTTGGCCCGAAAAACGACCCAAACATGGCCCCAAAATGGCCAGAAAAACAGCCCCCCCCCAAACAGCTTGAAAATGGCTAAAAAACAAGCCGAAAAATGTGGGGGTGGGGCCAGCCAGTGCTGGGATTTGCTGGTTCACTGAACTGTGCAGAATTTTAATTACCGGTTCACCTGAACTGGTGTGAACTGGCAGCAGCCCACCTCTGGTTTTCCCCCATTTTACAACTGTTCTTGCCACATGGAATCACTGCAGTTGATAAGTTAGTGATCTGGTTGTTAAGTGAATCTGGCTTCCCCATTGATTTGTGACAAGGTCAGAAAAGGTGATCACATGACCTTGCGGCACAGTAACGGTCATAAATATGAACCTGGTGCCAAGCATATGAATTTTGATCACATGATCGTAGGAAGCTGCAAAGGTCATAACTGTGAAAAATAGTCGTAAGTCACATTTTTCACTGCCATCGTAACTTTGAATGGTCATGTTACAATAGTTAAATGAACTGTTGTAAGTCAAGGACTACCTGTACTGCATCGCCGCCAAAATACCTAGAACGATGAGTCTATCAGACATGACAAATTGGGCTTGAACAAGAGAAATTTTCTCCTGAGGTAGAGCAAATGTATCCTGTTGGTTTGAACGTCAATCCCCTAAAAAGCTCATAATTCATTAGGTTTGTGGATTAGTTTTAGAAGTATTTCCAGCAGCTTTCCTCAACCAGGCCAGCCACCCTCCTAATGTGTTGACGCCAAGCACTATTAGCTAGCATAAACAATCTCTTCATTCTGAACCAAACTGCAGGACTGAGTTAACCTTGAGTAACTGATGCTCTTCTCTCTGTATAAAACAATCCTTTATTTACTTCTAAAAGGAAGACTAACCTAATTCATGTCCCCTGGTTTTGGATTGTGATGTGCCGATCTCACACTGCTATGCAATAAGTACAGCAATATTGAATTTGTTAGATGTTGTAAACCAAGCCTTCTCTCAGCTAGCAGAGCAGTGAACTGGAATGATGGGAGGTACCCATATTGAGAAAGACTGTTTTAGACAAAGGATAATGATTGCAGAGATGGAGAACAAAAGAGCACTGCAGAACTATTTTAATTCCTGAAGATAAATAAGAAGAAAATTCAATTTATTTAGGTTTTGATGATTAAGAAGAAATCACAATATTTATGTCTTTGTCTGCTAACATAATATGACAATGATATGAAACCTTGGAAGATAAATCTAGTTAATATACTGTCTGTTAAAAGCATAAGCTATGAAGCAAAAGAATTTTCTCATTCAATCTATTGTTTTAAGATGTTCACGTTTTGTAAGGCAAAACTGCATCAAGGAGACTTGAAGAGGCAAATTTAAAATTTTTGCATTCATTTACACATTTAAAATATGTATAAAAGATTATACTCAAGATGTACTGTATAATCTGCTTTTGGATATGACTGTTAGTTGGTGTTCTTCATTAGCAAAAAAGGAAGTTTATAAATTCAATATGAGCCAGCTTAGTATAGGGATAAAAGCATCAGGCTAGAAACCAGGAGACTGTAAATTTTAATCCTGCCTTAGACACAAAACCAGCTAAATTACCTTTAACCAGTCAATCTCTCTCAGCCCTAAAAAGGAAGCAATGTCAAACCATTTCTGTAAAACCTTGCCAAGAAAACTGCAAGGACTTGTCCAGGCAGTCTCAAAAATTGGACATAATTGAATGAAATAATGAAAAAAAGTTCAATACATCCCTCTAAAACATTTTATTGTGAACATATTCTACTTAGATTATTCATTCCCAATCTGGTCCTCTGACGATGCCTAGGATGCCAGCTTCCATAAACTCCAGATATATAATAAGCAGTGTTCTAGAGGGCACCAAATACTGTGGAACTCTCCCCTAACTTACGGCTAAAATTTTACATCTCATTAGATGGATAATTGTGTTTTCCAGCAATCAACCCTGATTTCATAGAGCATAAAATACATGGAATATGATACAGAGGCATGTTAGTTAATGGCAATTAAACCGGCAATAGCTGTGCATTTTTAGAGCAAAGTGGTGCGTCAGAGTGGCATTCCAAATGCAAGGACAAAGTTAATAAATAAATATCAATATTATTTCATGCCTTTAATGGGAATGACATAGTCTCCTTCCAAGATATCTATGTCAAAATGACTTCATAAATCTTTAGTTTAATAAAACAGTTCACTTATCTTTCTAAGCAAAATTGCTAAAAAAGGTAATAGCAACAATTTGTCCCTCATAACAACACGTTTCACAAAGGGAGGGAGGAAGGAAAATTACAAGTTCAAATATAAGCAGAGAACCAAGAGAGTAAGCCGCAATTCTGAAAAAAATGTTTCTGAAGTTATGAGCTTGTTTCTCAGACAGAACACATCTTGCGGTGCAATGTAACTCCATCAGATATTATGAAGCTAAATGAATCCGTAAATCTACGAAGAGGAAAATTCATGGGAGGAAGGAAAGGGATAGCAAATGGAAACTTTGGGGCAAAAACAGTTCAAGGGATAACAGCCAGAAGTAGCAATTTGGAATAAAGCAAGATTGCTGTGTATAAGAATCAATTCATGATGTCAACCAGATCCTTTTCTCTATATTGAACACAATTGTTTTCTAGTAGGCATTTCCAGTATAACGGTATTCAATGACAGTGCGTTAAGAGAAGGGTTGGCACTGTGACATTCATGGGAGCTTCTCTTCACACTGCCAAGCTTCTATCCCACCTACAAAGCATCTTGCCAAAGTTTGCAGACCATTCTTTAAAAATAGAAACAACAGTTGCAGGCTTGTCCACCAACTCAGGAAAAAAGACAAAACTGTGGAGGTTGTAAGAAAGCATTCTAAAGACTTTCCTTCCTTCCTTACTTCTTTCCTTCCCTCCCTCCTTCCCTTCCCTTCTTCTTTCTTCTCTATTTGCTAAAGATGCTTTTTAGCTAATTCCCTTCATTGTGTCCCTTTTGTAAACAGAGAGCCTTCCCATGAAAGCTCTTTTGTGAAAGTGCCCATGTAGTTTTAATCATTGAAATGTTTTACCAACCTAAAAAGATGGTCTATGAAAAGGAATTGTATAGTTGAGCAGCAATGTTTGCCCAGAGTTGAAGATGGCAGCAACACTTAAAATAACTCTGATGGATCAGGCCAAGGTTTGTCCAACTCAGCATTCTTTGTGGCTGAATGGCCAACTAGGGAAGCACAAATATTGGGCTTAGGCTCTGTAAGTGTATATTTGAATTTTTGAAACACATGCAACACTTGGTATTTAATTATCCTTAATGTAGCTTTTACTTTAAAGTTATTTCACTCACTTGGAGACGTGTTCTGGGATCATTTCATAATTTAATTTTCCCCCCACCCTGAATTATTTTGTGGCAATACAAACTGGGCCACTCCGGATTTCAGAATTATTATCAATCAATTAAAGCAAACCAGTCCCAACAGAAATCATTGGAGGATTCCATTTCATACATCAAATAATCCATCTATTACTAATTCTGAAGTTTGATCTTTTTTATGGTACATTATGTTTTCTATTTATAAAGCCATACTAGCAATGTTATGGCTCTTCAGCGGGCCTTATTTAGGAGAGGATAAAAAAAGTTGCAAGTTCTGGATTATATCATAATTTCTTCTTTTGTGTCAAGAGCCACAGATACAAGGACAAGCAATGATAATAGTGAAGTGGCTTTTCCACAGGTCAGCCATATTTATATAACTTTATAGTCAAAAGAAAGAATTTGTGTAAGATTTTCCACTGTATTAAATGCTGGTTGAGCCAAGAGAAGATCCAGTACAATTGCATCAGTGGTCTAAAAGTTAAATCATGCATTGAATAAATTCTTCCCTCATAGATCTTGTTTAAAAACATTTATGGCTGTTTGTTCTATATATTGTTTCAACCCATTTTTTTCTTCTTTTCCAGTTGGTGATATTTTGAATACGAGACGTGTTACAATCATACTACCAGAATAAAGGTAGGAAATGTTGCCCTATGCTCAAATAATGTTATGTGGCTAACATGACATTAGAACAAAATTCATTCTGAGTAAGGGCAAACACCAAAGTTTTGTTGAATAATTGACTTTTCAGGAAATATAAAAAGTTTCACTATCCCTTTACTGATGAAAAGAAGATGTTAGTAGCCAATACTAGGAATGAATGAATACATTGTTAAATATATTGTTGTACCATATCTATGTAGCATTTATGATGGTGTAAAACCAACTTTGTTGCTATTATTACATTTCCTTTGCTGCAATCACAGCTTAGCTTTAAAGCTTTGAAAAATATGTCCATCCTTGCCATAAGACACATCAAGAAGTGGTGCTTAATCTGAAATACATCTTATTTTGAGAATATAATAGGGATAATATTAAATGATAAATAAAATATTGCCAACAAATATTTGTAAACCTGTTTCTACTTCCAAATATAACTCTCCTTCTGTGTTTCCAAATGTTACACATACTGAATCTAGTAATCTATTAGCTTTGAACCATCTGATTACAGAAAAAAATCTCACTATATCCAAATTAATATTTGGAAAATAGATGAGAGGACAGCTCAATCATCTGACTCAGGGCAATATGTAAACCTCTCAAATGAAATATTTGAGAAAATATTTCTAAATATCCAACTAGTATTTTTTGCTTAATTCAAAATCCCGTTTTTAAAAAATACATTTTAATAGTGGGCAAGAAATCTTCAAAATTCTTCAATTGTGCAAAATATTTTGTCTGCTTGAGTAAAAATCACTGAGTTATTAATAAAAAATTTAAAAAGATTAATTCAGTAGTCCACATTTTGGCTGAGGTAAAACCATGTGCATTTATTTCAACTGCATTTTAGAATTAATTAAGCATAAAATTAAATATGTTGACTGTAATAAATTCAGTCATACAAATGCAAGTCTCCAACTATAATGTATTCATGGCAAGATTATTTAAAAAAGGTACCAGTAAAGCATAAGACGGAGCATGTCCATTTGATCTTTATTGAAGAATACAGAAGGTTCTCTTTAGAAATCAAATATGAGAATGGAGATATGGCCAAACGTAAAATCTATCAAATTCAGTGAAAACTGTCTGACTTTAAATAGTAGCTGTAAGAATGACCAATATATATTCTGTTACAACTGCCCTCACTCTACAAGTAAAAAAAAATAATAAACATTCAGTAAACATTCTTTCCTAAGGTAGCTTCCCTTATATAACAGTGATTTATCCATTCTTGTATACATAACTTTTAAACATACCAATCAGTGGTTCTCACAATTGGAAAATAAAAGCACAAAAAAGTTTACACTCTTGTACAGGTAAATAAAAGATCATCTTGAATTAAACTGTATATCCTGAAGGGCATATTAGAGTTTCAATTTCTTTACCTATTACATAATTAGCTTCTTAGATACAAATATTGACATATTTGGCTTGTGCTTCAAAGCCTTGCCTGTCTATTAAGTCCATGTCAACATAGCTCATAATTTGAAGTCACTTGGGAGGTCTTTACTGCTGCTTGGTTGGACTTGCTCGTGCAAGAGAGTGTCCTCAATACTAGTCATGGCACTGCATCTCTCGTCAGGGTCATCCACATCTGGGTCCAAGCCTTCAGGGCAGGGGAGTTTCTGAAGCTCTTCCCGCAGCTGAGCTGTGTGACGCTGTGCACAGAAACATAGATAGGAAAGGTTCCCTTTCACAGCAGTTTGAGTTTGAGGCCCCATTAGAGTAAAAACCATCATACATTTTATATGGTGATAAGAGCCAAGGCTGGTTTGTTATTTGCTTGCTAAATTATGGACTAGCAGAAATTGTACAGAAATTAAAAGAAACCAGTCCCATTGAACTGGGTGGGATTTATATCTCAGGACTGTATTAACTGAGAATAATACAGAGAGTGATGTATCTCACAAACCAAGAGCAAGATTTTAAAGAAATTTACAGTAGCCACCTTCAGCTAGTGGGAGAAGCTCTTTCTAATGCTATTGGTAGATGTCATTTGATACCATACTTTAAAGGTTGCTTGGATATAGATATGCCATCTTTTATAAGACCTTTCTAATTTTCTTAACTTTTAGCCTTCCTAGGAATGGAACAGCAGATTCAAGTGCAGGATCAAGAGAGAAAATGGTTGACTTACCTGTAACCCAAGTTATTCAAGCATTTATCAGTGAATTCACATACACGGGTTACATGATTATACCAAACCAAGTGGAATTTTCTAGCGCTTATGGGAAACACATCCCATGCATTGTACACATGACTAGGCACAGTTTTCAAGAACTCCCTTCAGTTTCTGAGACTTGAAATGGGAGAAGAATTACAGCAGCACTTAAGTAACCATTCTTCTCCATCATACTTTTGGTAAGAAGCTAGGTTTATTACTTGGAAGGGGATCGACTTCTCCTAACTGAAAAAAAGACTACATTTCTAAAAACTCATCTCTGTGGAGCAGAGGTCCAGACAAGTTTACATTGTTGGATAAAAGAACATAAAAAAGCTGGGGAGAAGGAGCTGCCCTGCATATGTCAAGAAAGAAATTCCACGCAGAAAGGCCCAACATATGGATTAAATTTTTATAAGATGAGCATGGATCTGAAGAGAGCAGTGCTGCTCAGCTAACGCATAACAATCTACTTGGAAAACACTGATTAAAAAAAAAGACCTAACTCCAGAATGGTCCTTGAAAAGCTGGAAATGGATGTGTAACACTGGAATGAAAGTAGAAAGCAGGATTTTTTTTTAAAAAAATGACTTGTTGGAAATGGGATACAGAAACAAAAGTTCAAGAACAAAGGAATATTTGGGCGAAGAATTACTTCGTTCTTGAAAAGTGAAGGCAGGTTCTCTTGTCCAAAATTATTCCTACTAAAAACACTGTTTTCCATAAAAGGAAGTGATAGTTATTTTAAAATGCTTCAACATTAGTGTGGGGAGAATATTTTCCAAACCAAAAAGAAGGAAAAAGACAATAAAAACAATTCAATCTGGCAACAGGTTTAGTATGCATAAGGTCTAATTTTTAAGGAACTTCCTACCTTAATATATGCATTCATTCATTCATTCATTCATTCATTCATTTACTCACTCACTCTTTCTTGCTGAAGATAGCCATGAATGCATATGATTTTTAGCTTCTTACCTTTAGAGCTGCAGCGTGATGAGACATAGTTCTGCCTACCCGTTTATCACTGCTGTACTGCTGTATATCTGCTATCCACTCCTCACACTGAGCCATAATCTCTATCCTCTTCAAGTAGAAGTGCTTATGTATAACCTATAACAAATAATAGGAACAGAAATAAGAATTAGCTATGAATTTACAGTTTTAAATTATCTAAGTGTTTAATATATATTCAGGTCTAAAATATCCACATGTCCATCCTATGTATTAAGAGCAAGTATAGCTTCACAATGCTTCTGATGTTTATGAACACGAAATGAACTGCTTCATTTCCTAAGTTCATGGGGCAAATACAGTGGGAAAAGATATGGCTACTTTAAAGCACTGCTGATAGACTTTATGTTTATGATGAGAAACAATCTTGAGAATTGAATTAAATAATTAAATTGGTTTAACTAAGAGTACAATTTTTAATGGCTACAATACTGATTTTTTAAAAAATAATTTCATTATTCAAAAAATTCTCACATAAACTTTCTTCCCTCTTACTAAACAAAACATCTACAAAACAGCATCTCCTTGCAACATATTTATTTCACAGACCAAAGTGATTAGAACAAATACAACTGTTTTCAGTTATGAAAATAACATTCGTACAATATTTACATTTAAATTTGTTTTGTTTAACAATCTTCCAAAAGGTGTGTGTTTACCATACATGAACCTGAGTATCTCAGAAAATTTTCTATTTACCAATTTGCCCTGTATGACTTTTAATATCTGACTATCTGTGAGATCAATGGATGCTGGTGCAAATTTATTCTCACAAGGGATGGAAGGAGAGCAACCGCGTGGCTTGATCTTTTACTTTTTTTGGTCAACAAAAACCAGTTTGGCCTAGTGGTTAAGGCACCAGCCTACAAAGCAAGAGACAGTGAATTCAAGTCCTGCCTTACTCATAAAAGCGGG